GGTGTGGAGAGGATGGCTATAAGGGGAGAAGGGAGGCCATCCAAAAAAAAAAAAAAAAAAAAACTACTACCACACCAAAATGGGGAAAATATCTGTGAAACTGACTGAACTAAAGCCATTGTTGTTTCAAAAACAGATGACTGACACTTTGATCTGGATGTGCTCTAAAAAATATTGGTTGCGGTATCTTATTCCTGAAAAATATCTTTTGGTTCGCTGGATATTTTGGTAACAGACAAGCAGAGCTGACTTAAAATAGTTAATGCCAGACTTTAAACCAAATCTTGTGCAATTAGTTAGCACTCAGAATATGTGTTGAGGATCAATGTCAGCTACTGCCACATCATATTTGAGCTCTTCAATATCTATTGACTGTTGCAACCACCTTGTTTTGGTTTGACGATCAGTTCACCAGCTGAGAATCAACAGCCAATAATTACAGCTTGAAAGTTTGATCAAATTTGCCTGCTGTGGCTGAGTGATCAGAGGAGTCATTCCTCTAATGTGAGAGTTGGCGGTTCGATTCTACTATTTGGTCACATAATCAAGACACTGAACCCCCACTGTCTCTGATGTGTGTCCCATGAATGTGATTTAATGCACTGATTAGTCTCTAAAGATTGATTTATCTTTATTAGCTTTGTAGAGTCCCCTCCCTGGGCTGCCACCTTATCGTGGTGGAGGGGTTTGAGTGTTCCAATGATCCTAGGAGCTACTGTAGTTCCTTATTATCTGGGCGTCCAAAAAACTCTCTAAGAAGTTTTCAGGTGATCGAAAATACTGCTGCTAGAGTTCTAATGAGAGTTGGAAAGACAGATCATTTAGCTTCTCTCCACTGGCTCCGTCAAATCCAGAATAGATTTTAAAATCTTCTAACATACAAAGCTCTCAACAACTGAGCTCCATCTTATATTAAAGATCTCCATCTTCTTCTGCTTATCCGTAGTTGGGTCACAGAGGCAACAGGTCCAGGAGAGAAACCCAGACATCACTCTCCCCAGCGACACTTTCCAACTCGTCCTGGGGGACCCCGATGTGTTCCCAGGCAAGAGAAGAGACATAATCCCTCCAGTGAGACCTGGGTCTTCCCCAGGCCTACTACCAGTGGGACGTGCCCGGAACACCTCACCAGGGAGGCGTCCAGGAGGCATCCTAATCAGATGAACCACCTCAACTGGCTCCTTTCAATGTGGAAGAGCAGCGGCTCTACTCTGAGCTCCCCCTGGATGACGGAGCTCCTCCCCCTATCTCTAAAGATGAGCCCGGCCCACCCTACGAAGGAAGCTCATTTGGGCCGCTTGCATCTGGGATCTCGTTCTTTCGGTCATGATCCACGTCTCATGACCATAGGTGAGGGATGGAACAAATACAGACCAGTAAATCAAGAGCTTTTCCTTTCGACTCAGCTCTTTATTCACCACAACTGACCAAAGCAATGCCCTCATTACTGAGGATGAGGCACCAATCCGTCAATCCATCTCCCGCTCTATCCTACCATCACTAACAGTTTGGTCTGCATTTCTGGCAGTAAGTCAGGCTCATTTCCAATGAGAGTTGGACTCAGCCAAGGTTGCCCTTTGTCACCGATTCTGTTCATAACTTTTATGGACAGAATTTCTAGGTGGAGTCGAGGTGTTGAGGGGATCTGTTTTGGTGACCTTAGGATCACATCTCTGCTTTTTGCGGATGATGTGGTCCTACTGGCTTCATCAGATCGTGATCTTCAGCTCTCACTGGAGTAGTTCACAGCTGAGTGTGAACTGGCCGGGATGAGGATCAGTGTCTCCAAACCGAGACCATGGTCTTGAGCCAGAAAAGGGTAGCATGCCTCCTCCGGGTCGGGGAGGAGGTCCTGCCCCAAGTGGAGGAGTTTAAGTATCTCTGGGTCTTGTTCATGAATGAGGGAAGAAAGGAGCAGGAGATCAACAGGTGGATTGGTG